TTCACTGGAAAGGCGAAGAGTTAGGGGTATGATAGAGGTTTACAAGTGGGTGAATGGACATAACAAAGGGGATATTAATAGGGTATTAAAAGTATCAACACAAGACAGAACACGAAACAATGGGTATAAATTGGATAAGTTTAGATTTAGGAAAGACTTGGGTAAATACTGGTTCAGTAACAGGGTTGTTGATTTGTGGAACCAATTGCCGCGTAACATTGTGGAGGTGGGGTCCCTCGATTGTTTCAAGCATGGGTTGGACATGTATATGAGTGGGATTGGGTGGTTATAAATAGGAACTGCCTCGTATGGGCCAACAGGCCTTCTGCAGTTACCTTTGTTCTTATGTTCATCTTGGGTAATAGTGTGTTGCTGTTGAAGGGTGTTAAGATGGTTTTCAAACTGTTGTAACATGGCTTCCTGTTTTCTAGAGGTTTCTGCTGGTTTAAAGTCAGTAACTGTGGTCTTGAGAGAGTTTAATTCTTGTTGGAGGAGGTCCACTCTGGCAGACAGATCTTGATTAATCTTGAGCATTGCTGAAGCTTCACATAAGAACATAAGAACATAAGAACAAAGGTAACTGCAGAAGGCCTATTGGCCCATACGAGGCAGCTCCTATTCTATAACCACCCAATCCCACTCATATACTTGTCCAACCCGTGCTTGAAACAATCGAGGGACCCCACCTCCACAATGTTACGCGGCAATTGGTTCCACAAATCAACAACCCTGTTACTGAACCAGTATTTACCCAAGTCTTTCCTAAATCTAAACTTATCCAATTTATACCCATTGTTTCGTGTTCTGTCCTGTGTTGATACTTTTAATACCCTATTAATATCCCCCCGGTTATGTCCATTCATCCACTTGTAAACCTCTATCATGTCACCCCTAACTCTTCGCCTTTCCAGTGAATGCAACTTAAGCTTTGTTAATCTTTCTTCATATGAAAGATTTCTAATTTGGGGAATTAACTTAGTCATCCTACGCTGGACACGTTCAAGTGAATTTATATCCATTCTATAATATGGCGACCAAAACTGAACTGCATAATCTAAATGGGGCCTAACTAGAGCAAGATATAGCTTGAGAACCACACCAGGTGTCTTGTTACTAACGCTGCGATTAATAAATCCAAGTGTCCGATTTGCCTTATTACGAACATTTATGCATTGATCCTTTTGTTTTAAATTCTTACTAATCATAACTCCCAGATCCCTTTCGCAATCCGACTTCGCAATCACAACACCATCTAGCTCGTATCTTGTAACTCTATCATCATTACCTAACCTCAGAACTTTACATTTATCAGCATTAAACTGCATCTGCCAATCCTTTGACCATTTCAAAACCCTATCTAGATCAACTTGAAGTGATAGTGAGTCCTCCTCCGAATTAATTTCCCTACCGATTTTCGTATCATCGGCAAATTTGCAAATGTTGCTACTCAAACCTGAATCTAAATCATTTATATATATTATAAACAACAGAGGTCCCAGGACAGAGCCTTGAGGCACTCCACTTACAACATTTTCCCACTCTGACTTGATTCCATTTATACTAACTCTCTGTTTCCTTTGGTATAGCCATGCCCTAATCCAGCTTAATATAGCACCCCCAATACCATGAGACTCTATCTTTTTAATCAGTCTTTCATGTGGCACTGTATCAAAAGCTTTGCTAAAGTCAAGGTATACAACATCGCAATCCTTACCACTATCAACTGCCTCAACAATGCTAGAATAAAAAGATAACAAATTTGTTAAACATGAACGGCCATTTATAAAACCATGTTGCGACTCAATTATTAATTTATGTTTTTCAAGATGAAGACGAATTTTATTTGCTATTATAGATTCGAGTAACTTTCCCACAATAGACGTTAGACTAATTGGTCGATAGTTAGACGCAAGTGATCTATCTCCTTTCTTAAAAACTGGTATCACATTAGCAACTTTCCAAAACTCTGGCACTCTGCCTGACTATTGATTTATTAAATATGGTTGACAGTGGGTCACAAAGCTCCTCTTTGCATTCTTTAAGCACCCTGGCAAACACTTCATCCGGCCCTGGGGATTTGTTTGGTTTGAGTTTTACTATTTGTTTAAGAACATCCTCCCTGGTAACTGCTAAACTCGTCAACCTGTCCTCGTCCCCACCCACATAGACTTGTTCGGCTGAAGGCATATTGTTAAGTTCCTCTTTAGTAAATACAGATACAAAATATTTATTAAAAATACTACTCATCTCTTCATCACTATCTGTTATTTGACCTGTCTCAGTTTTTAATGGACCTATCCTTTCCCTAGTCTTAGTACGATATAACTGAAAAAACCCTTTAGGATTTGTCTTTGCTTGCCCTGCTATGCGAACTTCATAGTTTCTTTTTGCTTTCCTTATCTCTTTTTTAACATTTCTAACCAGTTGTACGAATTCCTGTTCTAAAGTGACCTCCCCATTTTTAATCCTTTTGTACCAAGCTCTCTTTTTACCTATAAGGTTCTTCAAATTCTTTGTTATCCACTTTGGGTCATTAGTATTCGATCTATTCAATTTGTATGGTATACTACGTTCCTGTGCTTTGTTTAGAATATTCTTAAATAAGTTATATATTGAATCCACATCGAAATCCCCATTTAAGTCACCTATCGCTGGGTTCATGTCTCGCTCCAAGACCGGCCCACACCCCATACCCAAGACTTTCCAATCAATTTGACCCAAAAAATTTCTTAGGCTTTTAAAATCAGCTTTTCGAAAATCTGGCACTTTAACAGAATTTTCTCCTACTGGTCTATTCCATTCTATGCTAAATCTGATTTCTTTGTGATCACTGCTCCCTAGCTCACTCCCTATTTCGATGTCATTAATTTGCGTTTCCCTGTTAGTTAACACTAAATCTAAAATATTATTTTCCCGTGTTGGTTCCTTAATGTGTTGCGTAAGAAAGCAATCGTCAATTAATTCTAGAAAATCTTCTGCTTCACTATTCCCTGTTTTGTTCAACCAGTTTATTCCGCTAAAATTAAAGTCACCCATGACATAAATACTGTTAGATCTAGATGCTCTAGATATTTCATCCCATAGATGCTTTGCTTCCATTCTGTCTAAATTTGGTGGCCTATATATTACTCCTATTATAATATTATTAGCTTTTTCGTTTAATTCAATCCAAATAGTTTCTGTGTGTGGCTCTGTTTTGATTCCCTCTTTGAGACTACATTTCAAATTGTCCCTAACATATATGGCTACTCCACCTCCTCGTCTAATATATCTATCTGTGTGAAATAGTTTAAATCCATATATTTGATATTCAGCTAATAGTTCTCTATTTTCTACATTCATCCACGTTTCGGTAAGTGCAATAATATCTATTTTTTCTGTGCAGACAAGAGCATTTAATTCGTTAATTTTATTTCTTAGACTTCTACTGTTAGTGTAATATACCCTAAGTGAATTGTTATTTTGCGGACATTCTCTTTCCCTGATCGTTTTGCCAATTCCTTTCTCCCACAAACACATACTTTTATTACCTCCTTCCTCCAAATCAATTCCCATACCTCTATCTACTAACAGTTTAAACCCAAACAAACACCTCTAACCACTTCTTCTAACGAGTTCGCAACAGCAACAACCCCAGCTCTCGATAGATGCACCCCATCACGAGCATACATTTCATTTCTTCCATAGAAGTGTTCCCAGTTGTCTATGAAAGATATTGCATTTGATTTGCAATATCTTTCCAGCCGGCAATTGACACCAAGTGCCCTCGATATCCATTCATTTCCCACTCCCTTTCTTGGAAGAATGCCACATATGATCGGGATTCCTCCCTTGCTCCTAACTAACTCTATGGCTGTTTTATACCTCTGAATCAGTTCCTCACTCCTAACTCGACCAACATCATTTCCTCCCACGCTAATGCAAATAATGGGATTGTTCCCATTACCAGCCATAATATCATTCATGTTGTTTATAATATCACCAATGCCAGCTCCGGGATAGCAAACCCTTAACCTGTTCCCCCTATCTCTAGCACAAAACGTTCTATCCAAATACCTTATCTGGGAATCTCCCACAACTAATGTTTGCTTAGGTACTTCCTTTACTCTCTGAGGGGCCTGCGCTTCCTTTCTCTTCGTTGCTTTCCCTTTTGCGCGATCCACAGTCTCTCCACAGCACTCGTCCTCCAATACGTCAAATGAATTAGAAGTTGCTATGGCGTTTGAAGGCGGCTTTATCAAAGTCTTCTTAAGGCCCCTGTCTTTCACAACTCTCCAAGACGAGGTCCCTTTACTACTGGTCTCCTCCTTCGTTACTTCTCGTTGTTCTTTCAGCTGACGCACCTCCTCCCGCAGAAAGTCCAACTCTGTCCTCAGGGCTCCCACTAGAGTCAACAGGTCCTTAACTACAACTTCCATATTGCAATGATCACTTCGCATGTTAATTATTAAATCCGATTGCTCTTGGATTACTGACAGTTGGTCTTCATGTATTTGGGTTAATAACTTGAGCCATGGGTTATCCATGGCTCTCCATCCAATCCAGCCATGAGCCAGATTGTGTTCAACGTTTCTAGTCTCGATTTATAATAATAATAAAAATAATAATAATAATAATTTTTATTTAGGTAAAGGTACATACATAAAGAGATTTTACAAAGTTTGTTGGCTTTATAGATAGAGCTAGTACATACAATGCCTAAAGCCACTAATTACGCAAAGCGTTTCGGGCATTTACTGTGCTTTGGTTGCACCATAGATGTTCTCCGGCTTGTTGGTGGCTGTTCGATATTTTTCAATTGCGGTGCCTGAATTTTTTTTTTTTTTTTTGTGTATATGCCTTAGTCAACATTTCGTGTAATTCCCCAAGATTCTCCATAAGTTCCAGTTACCCGTATTTTCTACTGGTTATTTCCCCTGAATTTTTGCATTTTATTGTCTTGCTCCCCAAGCCCGGATTCCTGCGGTTTCCAAGCTCTTTTTTTTTTTTTTTTAACCAAGGGGAAGGGAGTACCATTCACACGGATTACGCGCCAGCGTTCCTGAGCATATCCAGACGCATGCGCTCGCGGAGGATTCAAGGACATCGTTCCTGAGAGCATCCGCGACCCCAGTGTGTTTACTACAGCGCCGCTGGATTCAGTTCTCCACTCTCCAGTGTGCTTGTTACAGGTCTGTTACTGAATCGTTCATGCTGTTAGATAGACGTAGCCTGTTATATAGTCGTTTTTCAGATGTATGGTAGTATTTGTGCTTGGGGTTCTACTTCCCAAAAATCATTTACGTCCTCTAATTACCCAACACGAAGCTGCTATTAGAACAATATCTAACTCTGGGCCCAGACAGCACTCGGCACCCTTACTCAAATCTCTGAATATGTTAGATATTAAGTCACTGCACATCCTCTCTTGTGTACTCTATATATTTAAAACTTTGAATTGTAATGTCAATCCTGACCTTCAACGCTTCCTAGAAGGTTGTAACAGAACTCGTGTGCACCACACCAGAAACAAATACCTTTTTGATATTCCAAGAGTTAGACTTAAACTAGAAATGCTCTTCAAATCAAGGGACCCAGAATGTGGAATGACCTTCCCATTATGTCAAAGATTGTACCTCTCTCAACCAGTTTTAAGATGAAAACTAAGTACTACCTAATTAACTCCATGTAACCTACCTTACTTCTAAATGTCAATCCATGTCTTACTATTAAAAAAAAAAATGCCGTTTGTTGACCAACTTGTATATTGGCTATTTTCTACCATGTTCCCCCCTTTTTTTATCTTTTATTTTTTTTTCATTCAACACAATTTATACTTTAAGCTCAATTACTATTAAGTTTTAGTCTGTGTTTTTTTTCCCCACCTCTCCTTGCTCGAAACGCTATGCGTACTAGTGGCTTTAGGCATTGTATGTACTACCTCTATCTTTAAATCTAACAATGTTTGTACTGTAACTCTGCAACTATGTATGTACTGTTCCTAAATAAATTATTATTATTATTATTATTATTATTATTATTTATGGTGGACGGCGGTGATCTACCCTGCACTGTACCAGGAAGGTCTCCTACGCTCACCTGAAATAAGTGTTTTGTGAAAGCCCCTTGTTCAGTGATAATGAAAATTATATATATTGTTTTTTTCAGCTCGATTATCTGTTTTTTTATGACATTCCCATAAATAAGTGAGATTTGGAAATCGCTACTTTTGAGGGTGACCCAGAAATATCCATTTTCTCCTGCCACAGATTTATATACTTTGTATGGAAGTGTAACCTAGCTCTTGAGTTTTAACGTAATTTAAAATTCCTCGAAGTGCCTGCTATATCTTAGATTCTCCAGTTATGCAAGTGCAGTAAGTGCCCAATTTTTTTGTTTTTAAGCCTCAAGTGATTCAAGTTCCAATTAAGTGTGCAGTGCTTGTTTTGCTTAAGGTCCACCTGCAGCCATTATTTACATTTTTGAGTGCAGTGTTTATTTTGCTTAAGATCCACCTGTTTCCATTGTTTACATTATTGAATGTGCAGTGCTTATTTTTTTTTTTTTTAACATTTATTTTTATTTTTGAACATTGGATGTTTTAACATTATTTTTGGACAGTGGGCCTATTTTTTTATGGTGCAATCTATGTGCAGTGCTTATCCCCATTTGTCAACTTTATTGCTTATTTGTATGGTGCAATACATATGTGAAGTGTCAGGCCCCAGATCTAAGGCTTGTTACCAAGCTTGCCCCGTTGTCTGATTTAGTGTATAGGTTCCTTTGGGCTGTAACCTGCCTGTGGGCACACATTTGGCGTGGTATATCTGAGTTTTGCCTTTCAAATCCTGCATCATGGCTTTAATCAAGATAAATACTGCTTCGGCTATTGAGTTGATGTCGCTACCTGGTGTAGGGGACAAATTGGCCGCCCGAATGATAAAGTTTCAACGTGCCCGCATAATCACAGAGGATAACATTTACGATATTCACCGCCTTCGGACCACGCCCACTTTGATGGCTGCTATATCTTTTGAAGTGAACCCTCCTTAACATGGCTCCATATCTTCAGGTCCTCGGGCAGGGAACCGTTCACAGTCTTCGTCCAGCGAGACGAGTGCCCCCAGTCCCTCTGGGGGTGTGGCCAGCGTCAGACGGCCTGGTAACCGGCTGCTGTCACCAGTCCATCTCAGGGCTGGGGGCTCACAATGTACTCGGCGGGGGAGTGCCCCTCATTATCGGTCATCTCGATTGAAGAGACGGCCAGCTCGACACTCGTCAACCAGCTCTCAGACTACTGATTTGGGTGTCTCCCTGCACCGCATCAGACAGGCAGGTCATCACCAACAGAAAGAGACCTTCCATACACCACCTCGGGTGTTGGCTTATGACGGGAAGTTGGATTGGGCCACTTTCTACTGCCGTTTCACATCCTTTGCCTCAGAAAAGGACTGGAGCGGGTCTACTTCCTTGACACAGTTTGGATGGTGGCACAAGGGCAAAGCGAGTGATTTTTACAATCATTTACTCGACAGACATGTCGTCGCTTCTCCTTCTTAGGATGCAGCTACTTGCTTAGCCGCTTTGTCCTGCATTGGGGAGACTCCTGTTCGGGTCTCCAAAAATGCTTGGTTAAATGCCAATGTTGGCACTGTTCTCCTCCCACACCATGTTGCAACTGGTGTTAGGGACCTTAAAGACTGCCATGAGGATATTAAACATATCCTCGAAGCCCAAGGTCATTCTGTCCTCCAGGTGGAAACGTTTACTCAACCCCCTCGTGGTCGTCACCATCAGCCCCTTCGAGATGTAAAAATCACCTTTGATAGTAGGGCTCTTCCGCCCTCTGTTATTCTTGCCAGTGCCAGATGCTCTGTTCAGGAGTACATTCTCTCTCCTAGACTTTGCAATAAGTGTTGGAAGTTTGGGCATGGTGTCCTCAAGTGCACAAGTTCTGTGTATCTATGCCCCATGTGTGGGGACGATGATCATTCTAAGTTCGAGTGCGCTTCTCCCCAGGCTAGCTGCCTCAATTGCGGTGAGGCCCACCCTACCTTCTCACGCTCGTGTATACACTACAAACTCGAGGAAGCCGTCCTCAACTTGAAACACTGTGATCGTCTGACTTTTCCTGAAGCGAGATGCCAAGTTTGTCGTCTCACCCCTTTCGCGGGTATATCTTACACTCGCGTGTTGCATTCTACCTCTCCTCGTCCTTCCCACCTTCCACCTCAGTCTCACAACCGTTTACAGGCCTTAGACACGAACACGCCCTCCACCTCCTCCCCTTATTCCTTTGCGTCCTGTCCCGAAAGGTCTCCCTCCTGGTTCTCCATCTGGAGTGTTCCCCCTTCCTACCCAGTCCACCATGTCTCCTATGTCTTCTTTCCCATCTCCCCCCACTCTTTCTTCCCAACTCTCTTCCCCAGTCTCTTAACTCTCCACGCCGCCTGTCTGTCCAGGCTGATGTCCATCATCCTCCCAGCAATCTTCGTGTTGTTCGCTACTGTTCCTCTTCGCCTGCTGAGACTATTGAGTCTGTCGCCCGGTAGGTTGTTACTGGAACGCCTGTCTCTTAGAGTCAGAAACGTAAGCCTGGCTTCTCTCTTTCTTCCTCTTCAGCGGGTAAGAAAGTATCGCTTTCTTCCTCGCTCCCCCTCTCTCTGACTCTATCACTACGTCCCCTCCCATTTCAGTGGTCCCTGTTCCCGATATGGAGGTTTCTTTCGCCCCCAATTTCCTCTCGGTTGCTACCCTTGCTGAGGTGCACTTCCTGATTTCTGCCTTCCGCCCCCCCCCCCCCTTTTTTCCCTCCAGCTGTCCTTGACTGCCCCTCTCAGTTGTCTCCTCCTCCTCCGGACCCTGTCAGTCCGCCTCTGGTCTGTCTTTTCGCTCCCTTCCCTCCATCCTGACTAAGTTTACCCATGCCCCCTAACCCAGATTTTCCTGACCCTGATCCTGAGATTCTTTAATAAACTGTGTTCTTCTTTACCTTTGTTCCTGTATTGTTCTCTTACTGTCCTTTCTCTTTGATGATGTCTATTCTTCAGTGGAATATTCGTGGATTTTATGCCAACTTCCATGAACTCCAGCTTCTAATTACACAGTTTTCACCACTTTGTGTTTGTCTCCAGGAACCAATGCTTGGTGCTCGTCCTGGTCACTTTCATGGTTATTCCTTTCTCCCCCCCCAGCTCTTGCTGAGGCCCATAACTCTACTGTTCTCTTAATTCGTTCTGATATTCCCTTCATCCCCCGACTTCTTCCGTCGCCTATCCATTGTTCTGCTGCCCGTCTTTTTGCGGGTAAATGGTATACAGTCTGTTCCATTTATCTCCCCCCAAATGTCCTGCTTTCCCTTCCTGATCTTAAGCACCTCCTGGACTCTTTGCCAGAGCCGGTGCTCCTTTTGGGTGGTTTCAACTGTCGACATACCCTCTGGGGGTGATGTTCTGACAAACACCCGAGGCTGCCTTCTTGAACCGTTTGTCCTCGCTTCTTCTCTCTTTCTTCTGAATTCTGGTGAGCCCACTCATGTGGACTCTCGAACTCGCACCCTTTCCTGTCTTGATCTTTCTCTCTGCTCGTCATCCCTTTACTTAGATTTCACGTAGCGGGTTCTTGATGACCTCCATAACAGTAATCATTTCCCCATCCTCGTTTCCTTTCTCTCTTTTCACCCCTCCCCTCTCCTTCCCTAGGGGGCAGTTTGCCAAGGCTGATGTGAACCTATTCACCCTCTGTGCTACTCTCTCTCTGACCTCTCCTCTCTGCCTCTTCCTCGCACCCTCCTCCTTTTTTCATGACACCGTCTTCGACGTTGCCCTCCGCTCTATTCCTCGCTCTACCTCCCGAGGCACGCGGAAGTGCGTTCCCTGGTGGAATGCAGACTGTGCTCGGGCTGTCCGCTGTAAGCGTGCAGCCTGGAAGAAACAGCAACGCCGGCAGATGGCTGATTCTTTTATTTTGTTTCGGAAGGCTAGTGCAGTGGCCCGTAGGACCATCCGTACAGCTAAACGTGAGAGTTGGAAATCTTATGTTTCCACCATTACGTCCGATACTCCTCTGCCACAGATCTGGAAGAAGATCCGCAAGATTACGGGTAAGTTCGTTCCCGATGTCTCGCCGGTTCTCCACCTCCGTGGTAACCTTGTGGCAGACCCAGTGCAGGTTGCGACCGAACTGGGTTCCCACTTTTCTACTGTTAGCTCTGGTTCTCATCTTCCTCAATCCTTCCTTCCTTCGTAAGACTGTTCTTGAATCTCATCCCTTAGATTTCCACACTCATCTCCGTCTTCCCTATAATGATCCTTTCTCTTTCCGAACTTCAGTCTGCCCTGGCCCTCTGCAGATCTACGGCAGCGGGCTCAGATGATGTTCATTATGAGATGCTTCGCTATCTCCCTCCGTGCATGTCTCAGTGTTTACCGAGTCTGTATAGCCAGGTCTGGGAGTCATCAGTCCCTAAGAACTGGTTCGATGCCATTATACTCCTTATTCGGAAACCAGGGCCTCTCGGCCTTACCATTGTTTCTCTTCGTATTGTTCCGTTCTTGCCCCCGTGGAGGGTCCCCCTTCTCAAATTTTGTTCTTCCCTGACCTGCATCACTAAAGCTTTTACCCCTCCTATGGTCCTAAAACGCCTTTTCCTTTAGCACTTTTCTTCACACTCCCACTCCGTTTCCATCTTCACTAATGGGTCTAAGTCTGCTGAAGGTGTGGGTTACTTTGTTGTTTTCCTGACCATACTTGTGTGTGTTGCCTCCCTCCGGAGGCTAACATCGTCACAGCAGAACTTTATGCTATATCTCTATGCTCTTTGTCTCCTGCTTTCTCATTGTCAATCCTCCTTTGTGGTGGTAGTTGACTCTTGTAGTGCCCTCATGGCTTTGGGGTCCTTTAATCCGGTCAACCCGGTGGTCATTGAGATTCAACATTGGCTGTTTCTTATCTCCAGTAAATTTAAGTCGGTAGAGTTTTGCTGGGTTCCCAGCCATGTTGGCATCTCTTTAAATGAGCGTGCGGATGCTCCCACTAAGGAAGCTATCCTCACTTGTCCCATCTCCCGCAAAGGTATTCCGTATTTCGACTTTTACCCAGTTATTCATTCCTCCATTCTTGCCAGTTGGCAGGGTTGTTGGTCTTCTGTTATTGGTAACAAACTGCATACTCTTAAGGGGCGTGTGTCCCTGTGGACTTCCTCCTACCACCGTAACCGGCGGTGGGAAACAGCTCTGGCTACGTTACATCTTGGCCATACGCATTTAACTCGCGGTCACTTAGTGGAGTGCCGCCCTGCTCCTTATTGTCCAAATTGCATTGTTCCTCTTAGTCGTGCACATTCTTGTTGAATGTCCTGATTTCCAGGACAAGTGTGTGTCTTGCTTTCCAAACGTCCCTCACGATCAATTGTCCCTGGATAGCATCCTTGGTGAATCGATACTTTTGATATCGTTCGCCTTATGCGCTTCTGTTCTCGTATTGGCATCCTTGGTGATATTTAGCGCCCTCTGATTATTCCGCACATTTGGTGGTGCTACATAGCCTTCCCAATTTGATGTATTTGAGATTGGATTGAATAGACACCTGGGCCTTGTCTCTTCCTGATTATGGTGCTCGTTAGATATACTGTATATACACAGAGCACTTCAATCACTTGTAGGGTTCAGATGTTGTCTGAATACTGATGTGTTAATTCAGAATGTTTGGTGCACTTTTGTCTTATAACTTGTCTAGTGTCATTTTTACAGGGTCTTACCAAATCAAATGTTTTGGCCTTACTTTTTAGGGACCAGTGGAGATAGGTGAATGGGGTCCAACCCTGTAGAATACAATGACAATAGGAAAGTATGAAACATGGCCTTTTAAGTTCCAATACATAACCTAGCCCATTATGCAGTGTCCAAATTTCTAGAATAACTTTAGTTTATGTATCCCTAGTGGCACCCATAATGATGGCTAGCAATGTTTGAGGTGTTTAGGAAGGTACTTTTAGAACCTGTTGCATAGATGTTTTGGTGTCAATATATTTTAGTCCTTTACACATGAATGCATATTAATAGCAAAGATGTTTGTCAATGTTATTTAGCACCTTGACACTAATTTTAGGCATTACTTAGCCTTCAAAAGTTAAAATGTATGGACTGAAGTATCAACTAGAAAGTTACTTCAATATTTCAAAGCTTAAGATTTCAGCCATTACAAGTGAGGAATATTGCCATATTTGTTCGGAGTTACTACAAAGTTATTAGGCAGTTGCCTCAGATCACGGCTTATTCCAGTTTCAGATTTTGCATAGATGTGCATGTTCATTATAGAATAAGTGAATTTGCATTGAGAAGTTTGTCAAAATTAGTTCCATTTCATTAAGTTAATATTTCCAAGTCACCTAACTTAAATTAGAAATTAAAATCACAGAATACAGGTACAGTAATTTGTATTTATAGTGTTAGACATTGCACCTTTAATGACTTGGTAAGAGTAATCGGTAATTTTCAGCATGATTCCATCTTATGTCTAATTTCAGGATAAAGTATATTAAAGTAGTTTTCATTAAAATAATTATTGAAGTATTAGGTGTATACATAGTACAGTATTTGATGTATTAACACAAATATCTTTTTCAGGTTCTGATATTCTTCAGTGCTGGCATCTAGGAACAACACTATCAAAGTGTAAGTAAAATCCAGAGTACCAAGGATAATCACTTGTAAAATAATAAAAACAGCAGACAGGGACACTCATTTTATTAACACTAATGCCTAACAATCAACTCACACAGACCTAACAGCCAATCTTTTAAGATTGGCTCAGCAAGGCCTATCCCTTTGATTTATTGTCAGAGCTTGTTGACTGAAAGACTGCACAACATCCACTGATTTAGTGCCATATGATAACACAATGTACAGTTATATTGTCCTTCTAAGCACTAAACCTCTAGATGAAACTACTTTCGGTGAACAAGCCCTGTGAATTAACGATGTATCATTGTTAATAACTTCCCTACACCTATGTACTTTAGTCCATCTATTAGACATGCTCTCAAGTCAAG